GGAATTCTATTTGTCTATCATTGCAAATCTGGCTTGTCAATTTTGGTAATACCTTGCTCCTTGCAGATTTTTGATACCCATGCTTCCTCCTTTAGCTATTTTAGACATTGCTTTTTGTTCATTTTAATACCGCTGTTTAGTTCTTTAACTGTTTTACACATGGTCATGTTATATTCTCTAATAATTCTGATATCTGAGGTCTAAATCTGTCTTAGCTTGGTTTTGCCAACTCACGTTCATGGTGACTTGCCTCTTCACGCGTTCAGTGATTTTTATTTCATTAAGAGCTTACATGTGGCTGAACGTGATCTGGGGGGATCCAGGGGCCCTGCACTGAGGATGGTTTTCTACACAGGTGGTTTATGTTTGCTTCTTCCACGTGCCAAGGATGCTACAGGCTGGTGCTGCGTTAGTTCCTCCAGCTTGGGGTTCCGTGCTGGAGAGACTAAAATGGGTTCGGACCTGCCCTTGACCCCAGGCCACGGGAAAGGCCTGTGTGCAGCCTGCAGCTCAGTCAGAACCAGGCAGATTGTCCCCCGAGCCTTGCCCTGAAGCTGCAGCCTGTCAAGTGACACAGCTCCGTTTGCGAGAATCTCCCGCTCTGGCCCGTCCCCTGTGGGCCTTCAGTCCCCAAAACTTTGGCCTCCCAGGATTGGCTTTTGCCAATCGGCTCTCGAGTTTTTGTTCACCCACCTTTGGGGTTAGCAGCTTTCCTGGCCATTAACGATTTCCTGTACTTCCTTATGAGTTCTACAATGAATGTAAAAGTATGTTTTTAAGAATATTTATCCACCAACTGGGTGTTTTGTGAATGAAGGCTTATTAGAATGTCTAGACGGCCACGTTGCCTGAGACCTCTTTAAGCCGTAAACCATTTAGAAGTGAGGTTTTCATTGTCCAGATATGGGATCTTTCATGGTTGGTTTCTATTTGTATTGTGTCCTGGCCAAAAAACGTGATCTGAATCTTTTTTTTTAATTTACGATGTATTTGGAGATGTCTTTTGTTGCTTTGTGTGTTGTTCAGCATTCTTAGTTGCAGGTTTCAGGATCCACTCAGGCTAGTTCAAGCAGAAAGGGATTGTTTTAAGGGTATCAGGATCTTACAGAAACTCTGGTAGGGCTGGGACCAGGGAGGATGCCCCACAGCCAGGAGCCACAGCAGCAAGGACAAACCCAACCCCACTGTGAGACTCTTCTAGAAGAAACCCACTGCCACTGCCTCACAGAGGAGCTCAGCATCTGTGTTGCTAAGGGGACAGGACATGGAGCCAGACACCTCTGTCGCCAAGCTTACATGGAGAACTGATGGTTCACTGACTGGTGGCTTGTTCCCTCCTTCCACGGTTCAGGCAGTTGTGTCTGCTACAAGGGAAGATGGCACTGTAGCTTTCAGCTTCCCAGGCTCTGTAGTTAAGAGGGCTGTAGAGGAACATATCTGGAGACAGAAGGAGGGGGCGGCCTCAAATAGGAGCAGAGACCTTTCTCCCATAGTTATGGGGGGGCACAGAGGCAGTTAATTTGATGTAATGGGCGTTTTCTCTGTGAAACATGGGACAAGAGTATCAGCTGAGAGTGAAGGGGCCATACTGGGTATTTAAGAAAAGGAAATGGCATGGGATAGTCACCAAGAGAACTGCAAAGGGCGTGTACCGGGGCAGGCTGGTCGGGGCGTTTGGCCGTTATGGCAGGGGCTCTGCCAGTGGGTCCAGTGCAGGGAGGGGCCAGGACGGCAGAGCAATAGTGAGTGCGAAGTTGTGTGGAATCTCAGCTTCGCTCAGGAGGGAAGTGAGGACTTGGGGCAGGAGGACGGGTGGGCTATACAGAGTGGTGGGTGCATGCATAGCCGGTCCCAAGGAGGAGCGGTGAAAACTCGAGGTGCTGATGGGAGAGAAGAATGTCCAAACCCAAGGTGCCAGAGAACAGGCCTGTGGGCTTGGCATGGGCCAGGGCCGCCAGAGGTACTCCTGCACCCCCCTCGGCTCGCATCTGCGCCACAGAGGGTCACTTTCACTCTCTTGCCGCCCATTACCCAGTGTTGGGCTCCTGCTGGGTCGGGGGTGTCTCTGTTCCCAGCCCCACCCCAGCTGTAGGCAGGGCCTGTGCCTCTGGGCTGGGGCTTGGGGAGGGAGGTCTTCTCACAATTCCCCCCTCACGCCCACTGCGTGGCAGCCCACTCAGACCTCTGCTTTGTAGAGGGACAGACCCTGGGCCCTAGAGGTCACTGTGCATCCCGTGGGGACTCCTGCTCCTACCGGTCCCCAAGAGGTCGTGGACCTGAGCCTGGTCCCCAGAGCGGGAAGAAGGGGTTCTTACCCTCTCCTAGAGACAGAGGACCGCCCCCGCAGTGTCCAGCAGCTTAAGGCTTTTGTGTCCTGCGAGAGGGGAGTCTAAAGAAGGGGGGTGATGTTTGGTGCCCTCCGCCCATCGGCACACACGCGCACACACACACACACACACACACGCACACACACCACGTTCTTGCCAATGGATCCCGAGCTCCAGCAGAGGCTGCAGAGCAGAGCCTGAGAGCAGGCATGTACCCCCCTGTGCCTGGGTCCCCAGGTATTCTGACTGCCACACCAGCCCGAACGTGGCCTTCAGGAATTGTTCTGGGGTGGGCTGATTTCCTCCTACCCTCTTCGGTGGCTGCCACCACTTCCTCCTGTGCACTGTCGCGGTGAGAACTGGCCCGTCTGGCTCTGCTTGGACTTGGGGTTCCCTGCCTGCGATCCCAGCACTCAAGGGCTTGAGAGAAGTGCCGATTCTGTGGGTGGTTTGCCCTGTTCTTGTCGAAGGCAGGGCTTGCTCCCTTGCAGCCTCCGCACCGTGAGCAGAGGCGGACCCAAGGAGGTATGTTTCTCCGTGTTCATGTTCAGGCAATGGTTTAAGGAAACAGGGGACGTTTCAGCAAGTGCGTATCCAGCGATTCTTTAGAATCCAGCTCCTGTGGTGCCCTTCCCAGTCGCGGTGCCTGCCCTGCCCCAGTGCCCGCCCGCCGCCAGCCACGCCTCCCCTTTCAGCATGAAGGTGTTCTCGGTGTCTGCAGAGCCACGAGTGGGCCCAGGGTCTGTCTCCTCCCGGTGCCGTTCCCTCCATCCTACAACTCGGAGGCCCCTTTAGTTAAAATAGGATGAAAATAGGATTTCCATGGTCCTTTCTTGCCTCGTTTGCATCGCAGGACTTAATTAGGATGTTCTTCAGTCCCTGCCTCCCTGCCAGCAAAGGAGGCCCTTTGGTTGTCCCCAGGAGCTTGGGGAACCGCTCCTTCCATGCTCCGTGTCTACCGCGGCCTTAAGCATTCATGCCCGTCTTGGTATTTACCCTCAGCAGAACAGCTGTCCTCCCGCCTGTCTCCTGGGTCCCGCCCCGAGAGTGGGGCATGAGCCTGCCAGGCGGCCCGTCCCCCTTCACAAGCCTCCTCCCCTCCGTGAGAGCCCCTCGGGGTGACTGTGAGCTGAACAGTGTTAACACCTTAAGGTGTCTTTCCCCAGGGTCTGCTCAGTCTTGTCAGCCACCAAGCAAACATTTACTGATGCTGTGTGCTGGCCCCTTTGCCAGATGTGTGACATTTAGAGACGAATTTCAGAGGAGGTGGGGTCGTCTGGCCGGTGGTTTTGGAGAGCTGTCCTGGAGGACACAGAGGTGGCAGAGCTGATGCCTGTTTGTGCCAGGTTACTGCATTTGGTCGTGGTGAGGTGTGAGATGCTGTGGTCACTTCCTCGAGGCCTGTCACTTCCACTCCACCAAAATAGTTTGTCCTCATTGGTCTAAATTAAATCGACATGAATCAATATGTGTAATAAAGTGACGGACTGTCCACGCACTGCACCAAAGCCAGTCTCCTGGGTGTGGCGTCGTTACATAGATAAAACCTTGGGGGAAGGCGGATGAAGAGTCCAGGGGACCTCTCGGTACTATCCTTGCAACTCCCTGCAAATTTATAATTATCTCTAAATAAAAAGCAAAAGAATAAATAAATTGAGAATATTGTCCCAAACTAAACCTTTTTGCCTTTTCAGGGCCTGGAACATTCTCCCTCTCTTCCACAACCCTCACTACCTCATTTCAGGGGATTCAAACAGAGCCCTAGATGATCACTTTTAATTTGCTTTTGGAAAACCCCAGTGGAGTCCCAGAAGCAAATTCAGTCTCTGGAAGTTCCCAGGCTTCATGGGGAAGGCACAGGCAGGGAAGGGAGGGGAAGGGTTTGCGCCTTCTCTGAGCCGGCTGGGAGCAGCCTCTCCAGTCAGTGGTGCCGCAGGCTGGGCCCCGGGGGCTTCAGGGGCTGTAGGTAAAATCCAATTGGAAGTAAGCTCCCATTCTTCTTGGCTCCCTAAAAGACCTCCAGTCATCAGAAGTGGCTCATTTAGGATGCATTGAGTCATTTTGTTCTATCTGTGCTGTGTGTGGGTTCGATACAGTCTGTGGCATCAGCCTGCAACAATACAAAGCCATAAACTTCTCTCCAGTTTTCCAAATGCCTCCCTTTTCATCTTGCGGGAAGACATTTTTTGCCCCTAGGGTGACATAAATTGTGGATGCAAATACAGCGGCTGAGAGCTGCGTCACCTGGTGAGCTGTTCGCAGAACTCAGGTGTGCCCGGAAGGATGAGCAATGAGTGTGGGCCTCCCTGGGACGAAGGTGGGCCAGGGCTCCGATTTCATTTTCTCCCAAATGTTCATATACACCGTAGCTCAGGCACTGTGACTAATCACAAGATTTAATGGCCTTAAAGTGCTCACTGAAGGCCCAATTCAATTAAAAAATGTCCTGCGGAAGCCATGAATAATCCTCTTGTCTTTGCTTTTCCAATCTTCCGGAGGCTTCCACCAAGCGGAGGCCAAATGGGCTTTTTTTTTTTTTAATTTCTTGACGTGGCCGGGACCCCACCAGCCCCGTGAGCGCCCTCCCTCCCCTCCCGTGCCACTTCTCGGCAGCGCCGGTGGGTTCTGCCCGGGTGTGCGCAACGCCGGGAAATGACTCTGCTTCTCCGCCAGTTCGACAGGCTCTGGAACGAGATGCCGGTCAACGCCAAGGGCAGGCTGCGCTACCTGGACTTCCTGAGCAGGTTCAGCTCCGAGAGGGCGGCAACGCCACCAGCGGCTGGCGACTTGGCCGAGGCGCAGAGAGGGAGCAGTGTTCCCGAAGTCTCTGAGGGAGCCAGATCTGCCATCTCGTCACCCGCTCAGGACCTGAGAGCAGGGCTCCGGTCTCAGAGTCACCCCTGTGTGAGTTCTCGGTCCCACCAGGGTCATGCACCGCATCACGCCAGACCCACAGGTTCCACTGGGCAGGGGCCTTTGCGGGGGCCCAGTGTTCCCCAGGGGTCAAGTGACTGAGAATCTGGCCCCCAGGTGAGCCTGGGGTGGGGGCACTGGGGTACGAGGTGGAAAGAGGAGCGGGGGTCCGCTGCGCTACTGGCGTCTTTGGGTGGGACAGCAACTGCCCCACGCTGAACAGCCACCGTGTGCTAAGCACCCTGCCACAGGCCACACCCCAGAGGTAAGTGTTGTTACTCCCATTTTATAGGTGAAGGCAGCGAGGCTCTAAGAGGTGCCCTGGTGTGCCCTCGGTCCTCAGGTAGATGTGGAGAGACCCACCCAATTTTAAGTCCAGGCCTGCCTAACTACATGGCCCTGAGCCCCAGGCCTGGCAGGAGGAAAGTGCCCAGGCTCGCCAGGGCTCTTCCCGGGTCTGCGAGCAGGGACAACAGAGCCTTCGAGGCTGGGTGGCTGAGACGATGCCCCTCGGCACATAATGCTGTGTGTAGAGCTTGTGCCCCCAGAGACAGAGGTTATCGTGCCTTCGCGCATCCACACACAGTGACTGCACGCCTGCCCCGTGCATGCGTCCTGCAGCCGAAGGGGACGAAGGCCCCTGCTCCTGTGCAGGCGTAAGTATTCAGTAAGCTAAAAGGTGGAAAGTAGAGCAGAGTGAGGGGGCAGGAGCTCCCCAGAGATGCCCGTGCCCCAATCCCTGGAACTGTGACTATGTTGCCTTGCGTGGCAAGTGGGAATTAAGGTTGTAGATGGAATTCAAGTTGCCAGTCAGCTGGCTCTTGGACAGGGAGGTGGCTCTTGGACAGGGAGGTGGCCCTGGAGTACCTGGGTAGGTGCAGAGTAACCACAAAGTCCTTTAAATGGGAATCTGGAGGCAGAAGGGTCAGTGTTAGAGAGACCAGACTAAAGAGACTTTGCTGGGCCTTGCTGGCTTTGAGGAGGCAGGAAGGGGCCACAGTCCAGGTGTTGGAAGCCTCTAGAAGCTGGACAGGCAAGGAAATGGACTCTCCCCTGGAGCCTCCAGACACCATGACTTTAGCTCAGTGAGACCCATTTCAGACATCCGACCTCCAGAGCTGTGAGGTAATAAATCGTTGTTCTAGCCACTAAACTCATGCAGGCCTGGAGGGCCATTGTAAGGACTTTGGCTGGCACTTGAGGGGCGAGGAGCCTTTGTACATTTTTAAGCAGTGGAGTGACATGACCTGAGGGACTCTTTAAAGACCACTCTGGACACTGGGGGAACAGGCAGAAGCAGGGACACAGTGGAGGTTTGGCAGAGGCCATGAGTGGTGGCCCGGAGCGGGGCGGGGCAGGGAAGCTGGTGAGCGGAGGTCAGACTTGGCTGCGTCTTCAAGGTGGAGCAACAGGAGTCCCTGACGGACTAGCTGTGGGGTTGGAGGGAGGGCGAGAGTCGCAGAAGACTTCTCAGCTTTGGGCCTCAGCAACTGGAGGAGGGAGTCGTTATCGACGCAGAAGGCCCAGGGTTTGGGAGGAAGACCAGGAATCCAACTGAGTTGGGTAAATTACTAGATTCGATAACAAAGTATCGAGAAGGCTTCGGGAGAAAAGCCCAGGCTGGACTAAATTCACTCTCTTGCTTTCAAATGGAAAATACGATAAGGCAAAGAACTGCCTCATGCTTGGTCCACGTAATTTCAAAATAATCGATATTCTTTGAGTTTACGGGATTGGACGCCTCGTGCAAGTGACAAGCAAATCCCTTACTTTGGTAAGACTCTTCCTCTAGCGAAAAATATTCCGTTGTCACTTACACACACACACACACACACACACACACACACGCTCCAGTAATACATTTAAATACATCTCTGTATATTTGCACCCTGGCTGTATATTCATTTTCAAAACTATTTTGGTTATTGTGGTTTGGCACAAATACATATAGCCCACTGATAGGAGTAAAAATTAAATCACAAAATTACTATCTGTTTTATATTTCACTTTATTTCTGGACTAATACCGCCTATAAAATTGTGAACCTCAAAACCGGAGTCCTATCTGTAAGGTTTTTTATTACTTCAATTTTAAGTCTCCGGTTACAAGCCAATTTTCCTTTCTTTCCTGCTAGACGCCAGCGCACAGCGCAGCGGGCACGCCGCCCTTGCAGAACTGCGAGCCCATCGAGAGCAAGCTCCGGCGGCAGATCCAGGGCTGCTGGAAAGAGCTGCTGAGGGAATGCAAAGAAAGAGACGTCAACAAGCAGGGGGAGATCACCGCGGCCGAGTTCCTGGGTTCGTTTTGGTTCTGTCCTCTTGATAATACCTTGTCACACTCTGTGGCAAGAGCCCATTCCCACTGGGCACAGATCCACACCCACGGTGGAGGCAGGGGAGTAATAGAGCGGGAGACCAGCTGGGAACTTCTGGGTCGAGATGCGGGCTGCACAGAAACCCAGTCCACCTCCTGCCCGCAGCCACCAAGCAGGTGCACACCCACGGGTCAAGGTCAACACGCCACTGACCTGGTTGTGATTGTTGGGCACAGTGTACACGTTCACGGACTCTGACAGCAGAGGACTGGGGGAGGCTGAGGAGGCAGGTGGCGGGGACACTCAGGCTGGGGTTCGACTCCTGTCATCATCCACTCTCTACTCTCATTTAGTTTTTCACCAACTTTAAAAATTAAACCAGTTGGATTAGTGCTTTGACTAATTGTTGCATGTTGTTAATGCAGCATTTTGCCTTACAGAATAGTCTGACCGTGTCACTCCTCTGCCGCTAGCCCTCCTCTTCCTGGCTGATACACAGACCCCTTTTAAAGGAAGATGTTTTCCTTGAGAACCTCCAAAATCAATACGAATTACTTCTATCATTAACCATGGCTTTAAAATGTACAAATGAAACAAGGTGTAAACTTTCTAAGTTAGCTCCTATTAAAAAAAACACGCAAATTAAATATGAAATTGATAATAATCAAATGTTGTTACACCGATTTAATGTGACGTTTTGCTGAAACCAAAACACCCATGTTGGTTTTAATACACACTTGAGTTCCACTTGTTTTTTAATTGGTTCCTTTGATTTTGAGCATGATAAACCTTAACTTCTATTACTATCCTTATTGTTATTGCTGTTTAATTTTTAAAACATGAACTCATTTAAGCCACCAGCCTATTATTCTGATAGGCTTGTCAGACTTTAATAGTGCATCCAAAATTCAATACTGTAAAATGATTAATTTTCAAAAGTCATTCTGTATTTTCTACTCAACACTGATGGCCTTCGGTAATTCTGAACATCAAAGGCACTTAAGGACAGTTTCCCTTGGGGTGCACAGGCCTCCCGCTGTGTCCTGGCGGGCACCTGATCCGCTGCTGCTTCGCCCCAGGCAGGAGCAAAGACAGCTCTGCTGACACGACGAGCAGCGGCTCTGGCCTGCGCCTGGTCTGCAGGCCTCATTTGATGTAGTCTGCTCCCACTGGTTTTCCTTCTTAGCCTCAGCAACTAACATGGTATTCCACTCTTTGACACTTTGTTCTTTCATGATGACAACTCAAAGTCTCAGTTTAATAAACTTAAACAAAAATCTCATCCTACAAGTCTCTTTCAAGTATTAGTTGTCACTCGAAAAGAGGCATTGTCTTTATAACTAGCAAGAGAATTCAGCTCGAGTACTAGTGCAAAGCACAGGGCAGGTGTTGGTATTTTGGTGTTAAGATGTGCCAGCCTCATGCAGCTGGGAAGATACCCCACCGTGGCGTCCTCGTAACCCTAGTAACCCTAGTCAGAAAGCGAGGCTCGAACCCCGAGACTGCACAGCGGCTGTCTCTTAAGGGTGGTCCGTGTATCCAGAATATATATCAATATATTTTAGATAGTCATTGGAGTGAAAACTCAAAACATATAAATTTGCATAGCTAAACAGACTCTCAAGGGCATGTATCTGCAGCCCAGTTAAAAAATACATGGTGTAGGCCAAGTCTGAACCGCCCCCAGCCCAGCCCCACCAGGCCCACGCCCGGCTGGTGGACCCTTCCCCTGCTGCCGCGTGCCCCTGCCCTGCCCCCAAGTCCTCACCTCCCCCTCTGCAGTCGTTGCTCCCACAGTCTGTGTCCGTTCGCTGTGACCACAGTTCTGGTGACC